GTCTGAACGAAAAGTGGAAGAATGTCCTCGGGTGAGGATTAAAAAAAAAAAATCAATGGAAATATATCCTTGAGTGAGGAATTACAAACAAACAAACAAACAAAAACCCTATATTATTGGGGAATTGGAGAAAATAAGCCCTTTTTAAAAACATTGCTGGTGATACATAAATACCTGGGACTCAGTGTTGAATGAGTCTTTCTGGAGTGGTCCCTGGCAGAAAACAATGGACCCGAATATATCATACTTACCCCCATAATTCAATGGAATTATTTTTGAGACTGACTTAAGAATTAACCCTAAAGGAACCAAAAAGAATTTATCCAAATGCCATTTATTCTAGAGAAAAATTAGATCTTAAATGGTTTATGAGCACTAAATGAAATGTATTAGGTCATGTTATTAATTAAAAATTGCATTATGCCATAGTGGTAATTAAAAATTCCATTCACAACTGTGCTGATTATGGAAATGGAATGATGGATTAAAAACATAATAAAGTCAGCTATGTAATATATGTAATAAATAGCAAAGATAAGATAATTTTTAATTCTGATAAAATTTTTAATTTCATTAGGGAATTATTTTTCTCTGAAGATGCTTAAGTTCATAATAAATAAAAATAATTCTATATTTGCTTAATTATTTTTTGCATTCATTCCTAATTTTTTTTTTTTTTTTTTTGACACCTATCTCATGGAGGAACAGATCAATTTAGATTAAAATAACCATGTAGCCCTGGCCAGTTTGGCTCAGCGGTTAGAGCGTCAGCCCATGGACCAATGAGTCACGGGTTTGATTCCTATCCAGGGAGTGTATGTCGGTTGTGGTTTGATACCCGGCCCTGATCAGGGTCATGTGGGAGGTAACCAATCGATATGTCTCTCACATTGATGTTTCTCACTCTCTCTCTCCTCCCACTCTATCTGAAAATCAATGGAAAAATATTCTCGGGTGAGGATTAAAAAATTAACTAATTAATTAGTTAAATAACCATGTAAATTTTAATATTTTAAAAAACATATTTTTCTACAATCTAGGAAAAATATTTAGAATGCCTATGAAAGGCAAAGAATTAATGTCCTTAGAGTGCAAAGAGCCCGTACAGATCAGTGTGGAAAGAATGAATAGAACAGGAGGCACGGGATATGAAGAGGTGGAAGAAATACAGATGTTTCAGCCTCACTACAATGGAATAAACATGAGTTAAATAATGAGAAACCATTTTCATCTATCAACTTGGTGATGTTACTTTTTAAATGTTGGCTGGAGTGTTAGGAGCTGAGCATTCTTAATGGAGCAAAAATTGGTCTAGTTCCCTAATACACAATTTGTTAACATAGATCAAAACCCTTAAAAAAAAAAAAGGTATACTCTCTGACCCAGTTTCACTTAAGTAATTTTCTTTAAGTAACTAATTATAGATGTACAGAAATATTTACCATAGGATATTAATGAGAGCATTACTTTCTAATAACATCCCTCCCGAAAAGAAAATCCAAGTTTTCAATATCAGGCAACGCAATAAATAAATGATTATGTAATCTGCAAATGGTATACTAGGCAGCCATTAAAAATCATATCAAAATTATTTTGTAACTTCCAACATAATGATTAACTCAGGCAATAGTCATCTATAAAAGCTAAAACCACTTAATAAAAAGTTTTGGGGGAACAGTATGTTCACAGAATCCCAAGTATTATCCATGATTACTTCTAATTACAAAGGGAAAATGTAGCTTTAAAATGGATCAAATTTACCTGTAATGGGATGACCTTGTATCATACGCCTTTTGCTGAGAGGTAACAAGAAATACCTAGCATCACCCTGCAGTAATCTGCCAAAAATTAATGTACTTTTAAGCAAACATCTAGACACATCCAGAACATGGGGCCTCCTACAATCGAGATTAGCAAGCTAGAGTGGAGCCCATGGTCCGGTATTTGTGTAGCCTGTGAGCTAAGGATGGTTTTTATATTTCAAATGGTTGGGAAAAATCAAAAGAAAAATAATGTTTTGTGACATATGAAAATTATAGGAAATTCAAATTTCAGTTCATAAATCAAGTTTTATTGGACCTCCGTCATGCTTATTCATTTACACATTGTCTATGGCTGCTTTTATGCTACTGTGGCAGAACACCAATTAAGCAACTTGTCAATCACCCCCCCCAAACATTCCGTGCTTGTCACTAGTTGACCTGTATTGTTAAAATTGTACTCAATTATTATTTTTATTACATTTTTAACTTTATCAATAAAACTTTTATGGAAATTTGTTTTTCTTTTTGTTATATAGTGTTTACATAAAATCCATGATTTTGCCTCCTGGCCCACAATGCCTAAAATATTTATTGTCCGGCCAACACCTGTCCTATGAGACACCTGGCTTCATTCAGCCTTCCATTGGTCACCAGCAGCCAGGTCATGTCTCTCCCTTGCATCACTTTTCAAGGTCTTCCCATCCCCCTCTTAACTGTAGCCCATTCCACCTGCAGGGTCTGGCCCCTGCCTACTTCTCAGACCTCTCGCTGTGCCCATCTCCTCCTGTCTTCTACTTTAAGGCTTTAGCATAGTTCTGTTCGCCTAGAAACTCTCTCTGCTCAGCTCAGCTCAGAGCATCACTTCCTCACACTAGAATTTATCACATACATTCACACACCTCTTTCATAGCACTTATCAGTTTTTAATTCTGTTTTTATTTGACTGGGGTCTGCATTTTATGGTTTGTGGTCTTTTCTGTTCCCAGTGCTTGGCTCGCAGCAGGCACTCGGCTGAATGAACGAACGAATGAATGCATGCATGAATGAATATGTGTGTAAACAGGGCTCAGAAATGGAGTGAAACCTCTTCATGACCAGTGTTCAGCACTTTACGCATCTGTGCTCATGGACAGCATGGCAGGTTATTATACGTAATCTTTGTGGGATATGTCTGATTGTCTGTAATGAAGAGCATCCTACCTGGCTTCACCTTAACTCCAGAAGATCTGGGGCTTAGACCAGCGATAAAAATTCTTCGGTTCCTTCTTTCTACCTCTCACCTCTCCCCTCCCTGCCCCTCCTATCCTGGTCTCCTCCTCTTCTCTCATCTTTTCTTTTTCCAAGAACATGGTAGTAAACCAGAAGAAAGGCCAATGGGGCCTGTCGATTTTTGGAGCAGACCGAAAGCCAGACAGTCCTCGCCATCCTGTTTCATTCTTTTCTTGCCCCCTAACTCTCCAGTTTTTGAGCTCTACTCCATTTCTCATCCATTTAAAATCCAATAATAATATGGAAGTTGCCTGTGTGGTGCATTGGGGTACTTATAATTAAAGTATTATTGTTGCTTTGGCTATAGGATGTACATTTTTTTTTAATCTAAGGAAAGTACAATTTGTTTGATCTTTGAAATGCCACAGAATTTTACTAAACTTTTGTTTTCAAATCTGCTTTGATCCTTTGGTCATGTCCAACACAAAAGAATACAAGTTGTGACAGCCTGTGGTTTGTTTTCTCATCATGATCACATAACACTGAATACACAAGAGGAAGCAAATATTACGTGCCTCTGACCAGCTGATAAATTCTTTGGAGTTGGGTTGCCCAGGCAAAGCCTGACAGTCGAGTTTATTAAAAAGTAGATGTGGCCCTGGCCGGTTTGGCTCAGCGGTTGGAGTGTCGGCCTGTGGTCCAGAGAGACCTGGGTTCGGTTCCTGCTAAGGGCACGTACCTCGGTTGCAATTTGTCCCCGACCCTGGTTGGTCATGGAGGTGGCAGCCACTGAATGTGTCCCTTTCATGTCGATGTCTCTCTCTCTCTCTCTCTCTCTCTCTCTCTCTCTCTCTCTTCCTCTCTCTCCTTCCCACTCTATCTGAACGAAAAATGTCCTCAGGTGAGGATAAAAAAAAAAAAGTAGATGTGTACGTTTCATAGCATTACTTTTTAATGTTGCTGTTCCAGTCGAACAGCCTAAGAAGGAAACGGTTGGTTATTTAAAAACAAAGGGGAAACTGGCTTCCTAACCATCTGCTGACCATGGAAAGCAAAACTCCCAAGTAGGAAGGCACCCTGGTGCCATGTATTTCTGCCTGACTTTTCAGGGGACAGAGTTTAAAAATGCTTAAGGAAAATGACAATGAAAAGCATGTTGTGGCCCCTCGCTGTCGGGTCCCTCCTCACTGTTTGCCAGTGTTTGCATTCAGGCAACCCAGTGAGATAATGTTTCTCCTTGTAGTCCAAGGATTGGACGTTCATGGGCGAGGCAGACCTTCCAACGTGTCTGGAAATATTAGCTGTGACTTCCACTGGGAGGTTTTCCCACCATCTCCAGGAGGCAGGAGTTCGTGGGGTATACAAAAACATGTCAGTCTCCGAAAGAAAACGTGTAAAATGGAGTCGTATCTGAAATCCCACAAGAGTTTTGTGTTTGCTGTGATTTAAAAAAAAGCAGGGACGGAGGGGTGCTAGGTAGAAGGGGGCTTAGAAGAATTGCTTATTACCCTCCATTCTGGAAAAGGTGATTTGCATGTTTACTGGTGCATTTAGAATAATGAGAGGCTTAAAAATCTTAAATACTGTCACTCAGATTCTCCCAACACTGGTGCTTTGATTAGTGTCACTAATAAGGGACTGGGACCATTTACCCAGGGTTGTCAGTGGCCACTGAGACGAGGAGAAGGCATTTGCATTAGGCCAGGCTATTAGGATATAGTATTACATTTGTTCTCTGCTTCACAGTTTGCAAAACTACACCTTTGTCCTCAAGTCAATTTAAAAACTTAATTCGCCCTCTGGTTTGCCGCCTAGCACCTGCGAGCAGTCGCCCTGTTCAGTGAAGAAGCAGAGAGGTGTGGCAGGACCTGCCACTCACACTTCCAAAGGGCCATTCAGGACGGGATTTAAATGTGTTTCTTTTCGCACAGCTGTGAGGTGGGCGGGGCTGCAGGAACAAAGAGGAGAGGCCTGCGTGCTGTGCTGGCGGCACATTGTGCCCTGCTCATGCCCGGGACTTGGCAAGGAAAGCCTGCCAGCTCTTGATAAAGGCCTTTATCGAGTTTCATAGGAGCCCAGGCACAGAGGCCCTCTCACTCACTTCTGTGCCCAGGGGGGTGGCGGGAAGATGCCCTGCGATGTGAAGGCGAAGGGCAAGGCAAGAGGACCTCCGCGCCTGTAGCAATGACTACTGAGCCAGCTTTGACTGACACCCAGTGCGCCAGCTCTCGGCTCGGAAACCCTTTAGAATTTCAGCGCGACTAACGACTCCTGGAAGACTGCTGTGACCCCTCCCGGGGTGGTGTTTCCACGTGCACACCCTTATACTTGGGAGGCCACCTTGGTTTGAGGCAGGGGTCTTTGAGGCCATGTACTTTTCCCCCAACTGTCTCTTTCCTTTCTTGCCGAAGAAGGAGAAAAATCTACCAAGGTCAGGTTGCCTGGCGATTAGCTATCAGCCCAGACCCCTAGGCTGCAAGTAAGAGGGAGGGGCGCCGGGACCCTCGAAGCTGGAACACGTCTCTGCAGTGGGGGCTTGACAGACAGTGACGTCACGTTTCCTGGAATGTTCAATGAAAAGACAGGTAACGGGACGTGGAAACAGAGGACTACGTGTAGGTAGTGTGGTTCCCCCCCCTCCCCCAGACGGCAGAGCGCAACTGCGCGTGCGCAGACCGGCTCAGCCCAGAAGCAGAGAGAGCCACCGGATATCGGGGTAGGGGTGATTTCTGGTCTTTTTTGTATGATTCTGTGTGCTCTCAAATATCCACACAGAGTATTTATTACCTGTATCATTACAGAGAATAAATTAGAAAAAAGGTTTGTTAACAAGAAAAAGGAATGAGCTGATTGTTTACCTACTGGCTGAGATGGGTTATGCAATAATATACGACCGTGATAATAACGGGCATCTACCCGATAACTATGTGTACCAGCCAGTGTGCTAAGCACTAAAGATGGATTATCTAAATTGTATTTACAACAATCTAATGAGGTGTCATTTTACAACTGAGGAAACTGAGGCACGGGAAGGTTACTCAGGTGCCCAGTGCCACACAGCCAGAAGTGGCGGAGGCTGGATCCCTCCCTGGGCTCTCTGAGAGCCCAGCTGCTCTGTGCTCTACTGCCTCCAGATGTGTGCACGGGTGGACTCAACGGTACTGATGACTCCAGCAGTGAACACTTATGTAGTGCTTACTGTATACTGTACACTGTTCTAAGGCTTAGCACAGAAATGAGTTAATCCTCACAGTAACCCTTTGAGGCAGGTGGTTGTTCTTAGAATGGATGAGTTAACTGAGGTGCCAAGGGGGAAGTGACTCACCCTGGATCAGGCAGCTAGACACTGGCAGGGGCATGGTTTGAATGCTGGCAAAACGGTGCCAGAGCCCCTGTTCTAAACCACTGACCCCACTGCCTTTCATGTAGACCTTGCCCTCACCCCTTGAATCTGAAAGCCAGCAAGTCAATGGTTTTCACTCCCACACCCAGATTTCTTCCTGTTCCCCAGGCCTCCTGCTGAGACTGCTTTCTCTTTCTCTGTGGTTCCATCATTTCTCCCCATTTGCTTGGTTTTGTTCTCCATTTTAAATTGCTTTTTCACCTTTGTAATAGAAAACAAAAAACAAAAACATTTTGCCAGTTACCCTCCAAATAAAACCCATGGATTAACAGCAGAGAAGCAGCAGCAAAGAAGCAGATACAGTGCAAAAGAAGTCCATTTTGTTTTGTCTTTAGTTTACAGCAGGGCTGTTGATGGGCTTGGAAAAAAATGAATTTCTGCAGCTAGCCATGTGGGGCACAGTGGGGACCGTGAGGACCTCTGAGCTCAGTGACCGCAGACTGCCCTTAACCTTGGCCAAGCCATCGTGCAAACTGACTGAGCGTTTGCTGCACAGCCTTCGCCAGTCTGCCTCGGAAGAGATGAGCACCTGGATCCGGAGAGGCCTGGCCTTGTCACTGAGCACTGCCCAGTCATGGAAATCCTGAGAGTATGTCATTCCCAGACCAGAGGTTGTACTTGCATTGCTAGGTCCTTACAGATTTCCTGCATATGGGATCCTTGAGGTCTCATCTTTCAAGGGCCATCCTGCCCTCTGAATTCATTCCTTTTCATCTCCCCGAGTTTGCTCCTGAGCTTCAGGTGCTGGATATGTCTTAGTGCTTTGAGACTCCTCCCGAGTGACAGTTGAGGGAGGAAAGGAACGTAGGGCCAGCGAGTAGTTAGTGAGTGGCTCCGAGACAGGGAGTGTGCGCCTAGCTCAGTACTAGGTGCGGAGCGTGCACTCAGTGCCTAGTAGTTCCCAAGGCAAACCTACTGTGAGCCAACCAGCCTCGACATTACATCTGCCACCTGCCTGACCCATCTCTCTTGGGTCCTGTCAGAACACCATCAATACATTCGAGTTTTAGTAAGAATATTTTACAAACAAAATGCAATTCTAGCAGAAGTCACAAATTTAGGGATAGGAAACATTAACATCCAGGTATTATTTTAAAAGCCATTAAATGTCCTTTGGCACCATCCTCCCCATTGTGTTCAAAGAGAACAGAACTTATACCTTCGCTTTACCGAAAGACATTTAAAAGTCAGGGAAAGTGACAATGTGCCCATTTTGTACATGGTAGCGACCGTTTCCATTTTCATGTTACCATAGAGCGGTTGGAATGTGTTTTCAAGCTGGTGAAAGCAGGATCCACAATGGCACATACAGTATTTCAGGCACAAGGGGTAAGAGCATGCTGGGTCCTACCTCATCCCTGCAGTGCCCACACGTTGTGCCAAGCTGTGGGTCTCAGCAGGGATCGTGTTGTGATGCAATGTGGAATATGTAAAACAAAAGTGTGGGCTTTCAAGTCATACGAATAGAAACTGAATCCCCGCTGGGCCATTTGATGTCAAGCTAATCACCTGGTCACTCTGAGCCTCAGTTTCCTCTTCTGTAAATGGGAACGATCATCGCCACCTCCTGGCACACGCTGCCCTGAGACTGGAAGCTCCATGAAGGGAGGGATCTTTGTCTGTTTTTCTCAGTGTGTGTCCTCAGCACCTGAGCGGTGTCTGGCATGTTGTAGGCATTCGGCAAATATGTGTTGAATGCATGAATCATGGGGTCATTGGAGGATCTAATTAAATAACCATGGAAAATGTGTTTACCCAGTGCCAACTTAGTCAATGGTAGCTACTGTTATTTCAGGGACCAGGAAACAGCCGGGCAATACCAGATCTGTGACTGATAGACTGAGGGCAACGGCCCCTGTGGTCAGTTCGGGGTGGGAGGTCAGCCAACAGAAGTCAAGGTCAAGTTTGGGAACCTGAGTTATTCAGAGTGGGCAGCAGGCCAGCAGTCAGAAAATAGTCCAAAGAAACAGGTGGGCAGAGGTTATCACTTCTAGGTTTTCAGGGTTCCAAGTAGCTGCGGCTGTGGCATGATTCTGGGGAGCTGGGTGGTTTGCCTTCTCTCCTCTCAGGCCTTGTGCTGAGCTGAGTGGCCTGCGTCCTCAGGGGTAGTGGGAGGTACCAGGATCAGCCACACATTACAGCGATGAGCCACCAGCTGTGGGACCGAGGCTGTGAGCAAGCACGACGTGGGGATCTGGGGGTGCCCAGTGAAAATGGCAGCCTGGTGCAAATATGTTCGACATTTAGAGGAGGCTGTGTTTTCTCAGCTGCTCGGCGGGAGCAGACCAAGAGGCTGCCCGGGGAAGGACACTCGTGTCTCGGGCAGGTTGACTGGTGATGCTCATGCGAGAATTCTAGGTCGCCTGGCTCTGAGCCCCCATAGGAAGCAAAGAAAAAAATGTTCCTTGGGCCTTGTGGCAGCCCCAGGAAGCTGAGATTGCAATGCTGTGGCTCGTTCTTTCTCTGCCTGCCTCGAAGTTTCATTTAAGCTCTACCGATCGGGGGAATTTGAACACTAATGAGGTATTGGGTGATATAAAGAAATCATACTCAACTTTATTTAAGAATACTGTTGTTACATTTTAAAGGCCTTTTAAAAAAGATATCATCCGATGTCAGATATGTTTGTAATAAGCAGAGAAAAACAGGTTAGGGTGAAGCTGGAACGGGATTGGCTGTGAGTTGAAAGTTGTTGACGCTGGTTGATGGCACATGGGTGCTCATCACACTCTTCAGCTTGTGTGCGGGTTGATTTTCCATCACAAAAGGTGTAGCACAAAGCAATGTAATGGACATCAGCAACCTCAAAATATGCCAAATAGAGGTGATTTAGCAGAACCAAGGAGAGAACTGTGTAGCGTGGTTTCACTTATTCAGACGGATGTTTGAGACTAAAATATAAGCTTTTAATCTTAAAGAACAAGACCCCTATAGGCTCAGCACGTCTGCGGGAAGTTCTCTGCGTTGCCTCCTTCCCCCGTGGCATCTGGCTCCTGTATTTTCCTGCGATTAATGATAAAAATGTTAGTGCGACTTCCCGGCAGAGCAGGTGTTCTCGGTAAGCACTGAGTTGATTTATGGAATGGTTTGGGCTTTTAGTCCTCAGACTGAGAACTGATACAAGTGGCCTCGAAAGGGGATGTCAGAGAAGCTGTGAGGCGGCCGTCACCACCTCCACTACTTTATATTGAAGGGAACCCCGAGGCCCCGCGAGATCACCAGATAACAAACAGTGGCTGGTGAAACCGTTGCATTTACTGTTCTGGCCCTGGTCCAAGGACGTCGAGCCCTATCTGGTGTTTCTCTCAGACAAAGCACAGAGGACAGCCGTGGGAATTATTACAGCAAAGCTTTCCCAGCCAGCAACACTTCTCAACACCAAGGTCACCCAGATCCCGGGAACGATCACGTCGCCACTCCTTGCTCTCGGACTGGACGCCTCTGGTGACTGGGGGCTGAGGAGTCCAGAGGATGGTCATGGGAAAGGAGCTTTGAACCGACTCCGGGGCCAAGCCTTGGGGTACGGAGATGGCTTGGAAAGCGTGCTACACCTCAAAAAACACACAGCAACCAAAGCCCCACAGGGTCCCGAGCAGGTGAACAGCGATTCTCAAGAGGTCACACCACAGACACTCAAGGACTTTTTAAACCTCACAACTGTGACATACGCATTTTTGCCCTTTTGGCACTGCAGACTGTCACACTTTCTGAAACTATTATTGGTTTACCGGAAGGGTAAGAAGGGTGAGGACGCCGGGGATCAGATGTCCAAGCAGGGAGTGCAGCTGCCACTCGGTCCCGCAGCCCGGGCAGCATGACGCAGCAGAGCCGCTCCTTCGCTCAGCCCGGGCAGCATGACGCAGCAGAGCCGCTCCTTCGCTCAGCCCGGGCAGCATGACGCAGCAGAGCCGCTCCTTCGCTCAGCCCGGGCAGCATGACGCAGCAGAGCCGCTCCTTCGCTCAGCCCGGGCAGCATGACGCAGCAGAGCCGCACCTTCGCTCAGCCCGGGCAGCATGACGCAGCAGAGCCGCTCCTTCGCTCAGCCCGGGCAGCATGACGCAGCAGAGCGGCTCGTTTGCTCAGGCGCCCCTCGTGCAGACACCTCCGAGGCTGGAGAATGAGCTGCCCCCCCCTTTTTTTTTTACCACTAATTCACAACTAGTGTTTAAAAATATCTTTTG